AGCCAAGCGCAGTACTACGCACTCTGCATATGTTATTTTGCTTTATCCCCAATGTAACTGCCAGAAATAGATATTAATAGTCTCATTTTACTCTCTAAGGCTCTGAGACTTTAAAGAGTCTTCTAAGCTTATCCAGTGAGAAAAAGACAGAGCAAGAATTTAAATTACGGTCCCTGACACAAAATTCATGCTCTTAACCAAGCCATTGGCTTTCCCCAAAGAGATTTTGCCCTGCTTAAGTTATAAGAAATGTGGGAAAATTCTCTGGTGATTCCATTTTCTCTTCCTCCGGATTTTCATGCTGTGCTCTGGGCCCAGTGCCTGACCCTTTGGACTGTCCTGCTGGCTCCTCTGCTTTCTGGAGGACAGAGGGGCGAGGGCTTTGGATACTTCTGCACTTCCTCCTTCCTCCGCATCAGTGCGCACTTCTGGTAGCAGCTGTCTCCCTTGGTGGAGAGCGCAATACTGCCCCAAGAGGGTGAAAAGAGATTCTCGGGTGGCGCTGGTGGGGTGGAGTAAGAAAGTATGGAAAGTATTTTTTAAAATCTCAACCATATCTGATAGAAAAATCTAATTATTTAGTTGTTAATTTACCACATCAAAGTTATTCTGGAGATGGGATGAAGTGAGAAATAATAATTTTTTTAAAAAGGGAGGAGCACTGCTTTCTGAGTTCCTCCAGGCTCATCTCCCTCAAGGCGACAGCTCTCAGGGGCTCCCTCCTCATAACGGGAGCCCTAGGAATGACCAAATGTTCTTCCTTGCTGCTCCCTGGGAGCCTCAACATCCCTTCTTAATCCCTTGGTAGAGAATGCAGTTTTCTGGTAGAAATCATTGCACTCTGTTTCCCGTCAAAACCCTGATGATCCAGATCCCTAACAGTCTCTAATCACCGCAGAGTTGGTCGTGTAAACTATGATTTTAACTCTTACCTGGCAACACATAAATTTAGGACACAAGAATTCCTTTCCAAATTTGGCAAATAATATTATGTGGTGGTGTCTCCGTGTATCTCTCATGGTCTTATTCTTTACTCTTTGCTAATTATGTGCCCTTCTACCCCTGAGTCTCTTGCAGAATAAAATGCTCTGACCCAGTGACCATAAAATAACAGAAAAGAAACTAGGATTTTATTTTTAAGTATATGGTGTTCGTCTTAACTTCTTAACTCTCTTGGAAATAATGTGACTTGTCCACCGAGTAATTTGGTTCATGTAAAGAAGGTGGGATCAGCACCTCTATCATCATCATCAGCAAAAACAGAGTTTATCTTTAGAATTGCTTCTGAAAACCATAAATGTCATATATGTAAAAGGGGAAGATTTTGTTTCCAATTTTTTTCATGTATGAAAGGCAAGTTTTGCTTTCAAATTCACTTTAGATACTGAAATAATTTAACTGAGGCCTTATAAAGTCAAAGAAAGTTCACTCAGATCTATTCTACTTTGACATGCTGCAAATTCCCGGGCATTGCCAATATTTAGTGTAGAAAGTTTCTTATGTAGAAATTAACACTGCTTAGACAGACCTGGTAGACTAGTATCATTTATTCCTTTTAGAGACTTTCCATGAAAAGCAGACAAACATCTGTCATATCTTTAATCTTACAACACACTGTAATGTTTCAGAGCGTAAGAGTTTCATGCAATACTTGGAAATCCCAGTGTTCTGGACATTTTTCAACTTACATTAGTCATCTTTTGAAAACTAGAGAATCCATTTATTTTGGGGTTACATTGTAATTCAAAAGTAATTACAATGTCTTTATTTATCATGTGTGAGCAGCAATTTTTCTATAGTTCATCTTAAAGATATTTGATAATTTATCCTTTACTGCATATTTTTGTCAGTTTATACAACATTCTGAAAGATTCCTGATCGTTTACCAACTTATGCATTAAGTTAATCTTCCCATTTTCTTTGTCCAGTTACATTTTGAAGCAAAATAATAAATATTTGTGGACCCAAATTATAAACATTTTAGTTGAGAAAAGTAATGTAAATATAAAATGGAACTCTAATTAGAACACAAACTTTGTTCTGAAATTTTATTTTCCTTCAGCAACTGACTCTTTCAACTTAGGACCACAAAATACTAAATTAGAAGATATTTTCTTTTCTAATGAAAATAGTACCTTTTAAATTATTTTTCTTCAAGTTAGGCATTTATTCATTTATTTATTTTTGTCTTTTTAAGGCAGGTTCTCGCTATGCAGTTCAGGCTGAACTTGAGCTCACTTTGTAGCCCAGGCTGGTCTCGAACTTGCAAGATTCCTGTCTCAGCCTCCCAAGTACTAGGATTACAGATGTGCACCACTACACCCAGCTGTCTAGGCTTTCAATTTTGTACTATCTAAAACTGTTCAAAGTTACTACTTAAACAGCCTACTCAGATATTATGGCAAATTGTGAGGTGATCTCAAGTCAAGATAAATCATTTAGAGGGAACATGATTAGAGCATTATAAGCTTAAAAACATGGAAAACATGTTTTCTCTAAAATGTGCCCTTCAAATCTTTTTTGAGATACAATTGCATACGGTAAAGTAAGCTGAATATTCTCAAGGTTGTACAGTCTGACAGGTGTTGGCACAGAAACACATCCTGGCACTCGATCACAGAGATTAAGGTAGTGACATGTCCTTTATCCCCCAAATTTTCTTGTGTTTTTTGGTAGCTCTTCGATCTTGCCTTTCCTATCTGCACACAATTGCTACTCTGCTTCCTGACACTATGGGTTAGTTGGCATTTTCTAAAATAAAGTATTATAAACTCATTCATTGAGTTTAATTCATTATGTATACTCATTTTATATACTCACTCAGTATAACTATTTTGAAATTCATCTCTGCTTCTTATATTAATAGCGCATTTTTTGAATGGCAAATACTTTCTTTTTTCTTGAATAAATACTAGGGAGAAAATGGCTAAATCATACTGTAGGTGAGTCTCTAGCATTTTAAGAAGCCTGTTTTCCTAACTTTGCTACATCATTTTGCATTCCCACCAGAGTATATGTATATGGCCCCCTAGTTCCTTAACATCCCTGTCAACACTCGGTATAGTGTTCATGCGAGACAGTGAATGTTTTCTCTCCTCCTCTAAGCAGTCAGTGGCAGTCTCCCCTCAGTTTTCAGCAATTTAAAGTATATACTGTGTGATCAAATAATATGATAAATGTTTAGGTTTTTAAAAAATTTATTAAGGCAAAAGACACATTGCCATTAACTCCCCTCAAAAATAGTCTGTTTCTTTATTGGTTACTTTTTTTCCTTGAGAAAACAAAATACCCAATACCCAAATTAAAGAGGGAAAGGCTTATTTAGCTCACAGTCTATAGAGGTTTCAGTCCATAATCAGCTGGCTCCAAGGCAGGGTGGTCCATGGCAGAGGGCAACAGGTCAAGGCAACAGAAGACAGCAAAAGCAAGAGCAAAAGACGGGAAAGTAAGCCTCTTTTCTCTCATATTGTATGCCAGCTACCCACCCATACTGTCTCTGTGCCCTCCTCTTGCACAGGCTCAGGATGTTTACAAAGTGCATACCTTGGCCCCCTGCCGAATCACATAGTTGTCTAAACTTCTCAAGTTGAGGCAATGAGCAATATGCAAGAGGGAAGGGTATGTCCTCCACACCCTAGACCGTTGAATTGCTGAGTTACTTAGTTAAGCTTCTAGACTTCTCAAGTTGGCACAATGTATCAACCATTACAGCTTCATGTCAAACACAGTCATCCCATCATTCCTGACACTTTCTAAAGCAGCTCTGGAAGTCCCGTTTCCTGACTGGTTTTTTGGTTTTTTTGTTTTGTTTTGTTTGGTTTGGTTTGGTTTGGTCTCTTTGAAACAAGGTTTCACTATGAAGTTCAGGCTGGCCTTGAATTCACTTTGTAGTCCAGGCTGACCTTGAACTCACAGCGATACTCCTGTGTCAGCCTCCCAAGTAAGTGTCTTCAGTTGAACAGTCAGTCATGCCTGCTTTGATGACTTAAATCTATTTGAAACATTTACCTTTCATGGTCCTTTTTACTTTGAGGAGAGCCAGAAATTACATTATGCCAGAGCTGGTGAATAAAGTAGATGAAGACACATTTAAATGTTTTTCTCAGTCTGTTTTTCATTTGGATTACCCTCACCAGCAACATTCACTGTAATTTTGATCATATTTCATAAAGACTTATGAACAAGGAGTTCCAAAACTCCTTCAGAAAGTAGCAAGAATGCTGAGATAAATGTGTTCAAAGCAATGAGGCATATTTTGAAAGTGATTAATGGCAATGTCTTTTACTGTAATAAATTCTTTTTATTTAAACATTCAGCATATATTTTGATCACCTCTTGTATTAATCAATAACTTTAAAAAATTATTCTTTTTGGAATCTTGCTTCCATTATAAGTTGGGATTCTATTTTGATTTTTAGAAAGTTTTTGTGCCTCTCGTTTTTAAGCCTGACAGAATGTGTTACTTTCCATAATTTTTATCACATGAATTTTTAACTCTAGTTTTAATAGTCTATTTTCATTTGTAGAGCCTTATATCCTCTTCTACAAGTCTAGTAATTGCAAATAAGCTTTATTTGATGTCAAAGCCTGAAGCTGGAGTAAAGTTTAATAGAAAGCCTATAGGGAAAACCACCATAGGAAATAAATGTTAGAACTATGGCTTCAGTAGGTGTTGAATGACGTGGTTATTAAGCTAATTGCCAAGTAATTATGGGATCTATTATTATGTAATATGATTAGTATGTAAATAAGGTGATATAAATTATATTCTGTGTGAAGTTGCTACTGATGGCGATTGTTACCCTTACGAAAATAAGACAACCAGCAGGACTATGACGCATCATGGACTTTCTCTGATTGCTCCAGCCCAATCTTTTATTTTACTTCTCATTTTGATTATGCTCACACTCATCCCCTTACACACTAGTGCATTGTCATAGCTTTTTAAAATGTCTGCATGGATTCTTTCCTTCTCCAGCAGTATTGTGAAGCCTTCAGTTGTAGGTACTGACATCACGCTTTCTAGGAAGACTCCTCTCACCACTGCTGGGGTTCATTAAAGAGAATGAAGGAAGCTGCTGGCTGTCTGCCCACACCATTCTCTTCTTCCAAGGTGAGTCCCACTGTGAGCCACTGTACTACATGGTACAGCCTTCCAGTGATTAAATATAACCATGGAAATAGTCCTCATTACAAAAGGTGAGAAGAAGTGAATGTCTCAACTCTGGGTTGAGGACTTCATTCATTTGCATGCCTCCTCCAGGTTCCCTTGTTCAGTCCCACTGAACTGAAATGCAGACAGTGGAAGACATCCAGCTTTTACCATGCAGATGATGAAAATGTCACAGGAAAACTTGAGGTCTAAATCATCATGAAGACCAGAACTTGACTGCTGACCTGGGCCATCCACTTTGAAATTGCTGCATGAGGTGAAAATGCAGTTCTTTATTCATGAAGCCCCTGTGTTGCTCAAGATGTTTGGTACGGCAGCCCAGCTTTTATAGGGTGTCTGTCACTATCTTCCTTAGAAACTGATTTTTTTTTTTTTTTTTTGGTACCAGGAATCGAACTCATGACCTCAAGCTTGCCAGGCAGGCGCTGTGTCATTGAGCTATATCCCTGGCCCAGATACCAAATTTTGAGATGCTTTGTTTCTGTTGTTTGTGCTTTGCTTAATAGCTTTGCCATAATATTTGCAATTCTGCACCAGAGTTTTATTTCTTTTCCTTTCCTATATACTTAGAGCATTTTAGCTTCTGTTCTGAATTTCATTGATATATCACCACTTATCAATAAATAATAAATTCAAGTCATCTATTAAATATTTTTGAGCACCTGCCACCAGTACAGTTATGGGTTCAAGGGTTCCTTTCTTTAAAATTCATAAGCTGAAATCCTAACTTCTAGAACCTCACAATGTGCCCTTATTTGGAGAAGGGACCTTTAGAGAAATAATTAATTTAAAATAAGTTTATTAGGTTGAGCTCTAACTCAGTGTGACTGCTGACCTTATAAAAAGGGGCATTGCCAGGCATGGTGGAGCACACCTGTAGTCCCAGCACTCGGGAGGCTGAGGCAGGAGGATCCTTGCAAGTTCGAGATCAGCCAGGGCTACAAAGTGAGCTCAAGGCCGGTGTGAACTGCATAGCGAGACCCTGTCTCAAAAAGACAAAAAAAAAGGGAGGGGCAATTTGAAGACAGATATATACATGGGCCGAATGTCATGTAAAGATGAAGGTAAAGATAAAAATGATGAATATATAGGCTAAGAACTGTCAAAGATCACTAGTGAACCACTAGAGAAGAAAAACATAGATTTTTCTCACAACTCTCAGATACCTTGGTTGTGGATATCTAGCCTCCAAAACTGTAAATCAATAAATTTCTGTTGTTGTAGGCACAGAATCCTTTGTTATAGCAACCCTAGCAACCAATCTAAACACCTAGAGTATTAAAATAAGAAGGATGTTAGCAACAAATTCTGGTTATCCAGTGTGAGGACATAAAATGCTCAAGAGAAAAGTTCTAGTAAAAGGAGTGGGATGACTGAAGAACTTGGTCCATGCTCTTCCCTGCAGATGTCTGTGTGTTTGGTGTTATGGATAGGAGACAAATATAGGCAAGAGATAGGCCTTAATTTTAAGGAAAATAAAATTTAGTAGTGAATTGGCAGGAATGAGTTTGATTTACTACTACTGGCAGGTATGCCAGTTAGGAAAATGTATGCATGTGCACAGATTATAGTAGTGTAAATTTGTGCAATATCTATAAGGACATTTTAGAAATACTTAAAACACACGTACCTAAAACATGAAAAACTGAACACATGCATCTCCACTATACCTTCCTGAAATCACATGGATATGAGAATTCAGAGGTGAAGACATTATAAAACCCACAAAAATAACAAAATAAAAAATAAGAAAGAGCAACATTATTTTGGAAGAAGGAAAGCAGATAGAGAAGCATTAACTGAGGTCACAGAAGCAAGGTCTGCAAGCCAATAAGAAGGAAGTGGATGTGATCAACAATCAAGAGACCCTGAAAGTTTCAACCATAGGAGGCATCAGGTGCCTCTAAAGGTGTAGAATAAGGTCAGACTAAGAAAGCTTTTGAAAAATCGTTCCATCAGGACCAAATAGACAGCAACTTTAATCCTACCCTTATTCTACCCAGCCAAGGACTGACCCATTCTTCCCTTACCTTGCTCAGGTAGGATCCAGGGGGTTTACTGCCTGCATCAGTGAAACAGAAAACCCCCAAACTCAGTGTCAGGGAAGGTGGTGAAGATCAATCACGACGTTAGAAATAGGAGGATTAAATGAAAGTTTTCATATTTTTACTTCATGTGCCAGTTTGAAGAATTTCTCTCTACACTGGGTGCTTTTGGAGATAGTGATGTATAAATTCTCATATTGCTGGAGTTGGCAATAAAACAGCTAAATCCTAATAATTACCTACAGAGACGCCAGTCATTAAGCACCACTGCAAAGTTTCCAGGCAGATCCTGAGTCCTTTCTTCGAAATATCAATGGACAGCAAAAGGACACCAACTATTTGGGAAAGCCTGAAATACCAAAGAAAGATCAAAAGGGACTCACCGGAAACAAAACAAAGGGAGTGAATAAGAGATAATAGGAGAAAATGAAAACTAAAAATTAAACCTGGAAAATTAGTGACTGTAGAGAGAGAAGATGTTATATAAATGGTAAAAAGAATAGTGTTCTATATTTACATGGGCATTCAGAAGCCAATAAGTAACTCTCAAAAATTGAAAAATAAGGTAACAGAAACACTGACATTGCCTAATGTTGACTTTACAGAAAATTATGAAATTGGGAAGATGAGAGAAAGAGAATTGTGCACAGGGAATGAGGAAGGTGATGGTAGAAAGATAGCGATGAGTAGGTAATAATAACAGCCTTTTTTTGAGACAAGGTCTTGCTGTGTAGTTCAGGCTCACCTTGAACTTTCTATGTAGCTGAGAGGCTGACTTGGAACTCATGGTGATCCTTTCACCTCAGCCCCCTGTATACTGGGGTTATAGGTGTGCACCTATAACACTTGGCTCAACTGTCTTTCATTAAAAACCTTACGGGGCTATTTATCTTTTGATAAAAATTAAAATGAAACCACAAAATTTTGAGAAAGAAAAAGTATCAAGGACTATCACCAGGTGTGGTGGTGCACACCTGTAATCTCAGCACTCAAGAGGCTGAGGCAGAAGGATCATTGTGAGTTCGAGGCCAGCCTGGGCTACAAAGTGAGTACAAGGCCAACCTGAACTGTATAGTGAGACCCTGTCTCAAAAAGACAAAAAAAAAAAAAAGAAAGAAAGAAAGAAAGAAAGAAAGGAAAAAAAAAACTGTAAAACTGAATATTTTAGTATTGAGATGGATTTTGTAGTTTTTTTCTTTTTCAGTAGCTTTCCAAGTTGGAAGAACCATGAAACACTAGAATAAATGAGAGAATAATGTTACCTACATCACATAAGCAGCTTTAACAAATAAGAATTATTTCAGCTCCTGGAGAAGGAGGATAAAAGACTATTTCTTGATGCTAGACACCTCAATGTATACATTTGAACCATGAGCTTATAGGTACTATGTCAGAAATCAGAAGGGTCAATAAATGATTGTGTCCAGAATGTGTTGGTGTTGTAATATATATCTACTAAAAAGTGTTAAAAAGTAAACATAGGTATGTGTTGTAGACAGAATGTGTTCCCCCAGATTCATATGCTAAAACCCTACCCTCTGTGGCTGTATTTAGAGAGGATTCCAAGAAAGCAATAAAAGGTAAGGGAAGCTATAAGGGTGGGTGCCTGATACTTTAGAAAGATTATCCTCCCTCCAACTGGATATACCACAAAGCGTGGTGTCTCTCTTTGGACAAACACAGAGGAAAGGCCATGTGAAGGCATTGCAATGCAAAGGCAGCCATCTATGAGCCAGGAAGAAAGCACTGCCTGGCTTTGATCTTGGACTTCCAGCCTCCAGAATTGTGAGAAAATAAATTTCTACTGTTTAAGCCATCCAATCTGTGGTAGTTTGTGATGGCAATAGTAGGAAATTAATATAGCAGATTACATTCAATAAAACTCCACGAACATGAAAAACAGTGTGGGATTGCTTTTTAATATAGCAATTCTACATTTCTTTGTCTGTCCTTTAAGATACTGAACCTCATCTAGGGGTCAACAAACCTAGGGGCCAAATCTAACCCATCTTTTGTTTTTATGCAGCCTGTAAGCTAAGAATGGATTTTAGATTTTAAATGATTAGAGAAATTAAAAAAGGATAACATTTTATGATGAGAATATTACATGAAATTCAAATTTCAGTGCTTGTAAATAAAGTTTTTAATATAACCATGCTCATTTTTCTCTGTATCATTCCAATTTTACTATATGTGTTGGCGAACTGAGCACAGCCATGCTCATTTTTAATGTATTGTTTATGGACATTTTGTGCTTCAGTGGCACAGCTGAGTAGTTATGTCAGATACCGTATTGACATATTGACCAGAAAACTGAAATGTTTACCTTATGCCCATTAACAAAAATGTTTCCTGACCCCCAAGAATAGAATATCAAATTGAAATAACCTTCCACAATCCTTTCATATTTTCCCCAATCTTTTGTAGCTGCCTTTCCAAGACTTAATTAAACAGCTGCATTTTAAATGTCTCAATTTTATTGTCTTTCCAAAGGATTAAAAATTGTTTTTCCTAGAAAATGCTTTCTTTCGGCACTTTTATTTCAAAGGTTCAAAAAATACTGAATGAAACCTCATGTTTATAGGAACAAGCACAGCTAGGGTACACAGTATGGTTCCCAGTAACTGACTCCCAGTAAAAACGTAACTCAGTGCCCGGAAGTAGAAGAACATTGGCTGGCCTTGCTTTGGGCACATGCTGGGCATCACCTGGATGTTTAGCTTGGGAAAGGCCAAGCATAGATTAGTGTGATGGGCAGGTTGTTCATTATTTAAAAGATTTTACATGGTAATCACATTCTGGTTGTTTCAGGTATTTGATTTTTCTCCCTAAATAAAGAATGACTCACCCGGAGAGCAGGATTCATCCTTCCTTTATTTCTTAAATCCCCTTTTCAGGCATGGGGATGTTAATTTGAACACAAGACACATGATCAAAAAAATCTCATTTTTTTTCATGGTAATAAGTATCTCTTGAGTTGTCTGATGACGAAGCTTCTATGAGTTATAGGTGACAATTCCTGGGCTCAGTCATCACCCAGCCACGTACAAAGGTTCTCCAAACACTGATTCTAGATTCTCCGTCTGTTTTCATTTGAAATGCCCTTTTTAATCTTTATTTTCTTTTTCCCAAAAAACGTGTCAGGTTTCATGATTCATTTTTATGTTTTCTCATCTATTGGCTTCAGTATCAGACTTTTGCCTAAGCAGTGAAATTCAAAGAAATCTCTGTCAGGATGCTTGATGTGAAAGAAGACAGTAAGGTTCAAATGACCGCATAGTGAATAAAGCAATGTGAGTGAAAATGGGGAATGTTATTCATCATTTAAGACAAAAAAGAGGATATCATGAAAAGCTTGTGTTCAGCTTTTGATGAAATGAAACCATTTACTGCAGACAACCTAAAGCTTACAAGATTGGCAACAAAAAAGATCTGCCTGACAAGGCCAGTTGTTGTGTATAATTTATATAATTCTTACTTCAATTATTCTTATTTGTAGCTATCCAGAAGTATGAGCAATAATCAGTAGTAGTTTTACTACTAGTAGTAATATAGTCTTTTTTTTTTTTTTGGTCTTTTTGAGACAGGGTCTCGCTCTGCAGTTCAGGCTGGCCTTGAGCTCATTTTGTAGCCCAGACTGGTCTCAAAATCACAACGATCCTCCTGCCTCAGCCTCCTGAGTGCTGGGATTATACGAGTGTGCCACCATGCCCAGCTAATACAGTCTAGCCTTAAATTGTCTTATTCTCAGAGGAAAATTTTGGTAGATTGAAAATTAACCCAACATTTTGTAGCACCTCTGTGCATAATTATGATAAAATCTTCAATATATATAATTTGGAATAGGAAGCGCTGATAAGAAACAGCTTATTTATCCATCTTATTCTTGATTTGCACAGTTTGTAGTAAAAGTAATTTTTAAAAATAACTTAATCTCTCTCTTTTGTAAAAGCTGGTTAAAACTATATCTGGTTTCCCATATTGCTAGTATATTATGAATATGGCTAAGAGTATCTACAAAGTAATTATTTGTGGCCCTGGATTCAATGACATTTGTCGATTAACATTGTTATGCAACTGGCACTCTCTGGTCCCTGCTCTGCTGGTGTATGTCTGTGTTTACTTGATTTGTAACCAAGTGAGTTTAATTAGATTCTTTCTCTTTCTTTCTCTCTTTCTTCCCTTCCTTCCTTCATTCCTTCTTTCCTTCCTTCCTTCCTTCTTCCCTCCCTCCCTCCCTCCCTCTTTCTTTCTTTCTTTCTTTCTTTCTTTCTTTCTTTCTTTCTTTCTTTCTTTCTTTCTTTCTTTCTCCCTTTCTCCCTTTTTTGAGACAGGGTTTTGCTATGTAGTTCAGGCTGGCCTTGAACTCACTCTGTAGCCTCAAAATCATAGCAATCCTCTGCCTCTTGGGTGTCAAGATTATAGGTATGCATCACCACACCCAGCTTATTTCTTATTTCTTGGGCTCAAATAATTATCTGATCCTAAAAAGGCTCCTGCTCATTGTAATTTTTAAATTTTGGCATTTTTTTTAAATTTAAAGATAATTTGTGTTTTTTTGGTTTATTATTATTATTATTATTATTTTAAAGAGTAAAAGAAGGATAACATAGTAATAGGGGGACTAATTTTTAAATTTTGCTTTTAAAAATATCCAAACCTCTTAACACTTGTTTAACATTCACGTGCCCAATTTGCATATAACCAGAATATTGGAATACACATGTTAGCAAGTAATATAGATTATATTCTAAATTTGCTTTTGTTTCTAATTAAAGGTAAAGAGTTGAAACTTTACCTATAGCAAAAATAAAGAAGTCTTTCCGTCTCCCCTCTGTTTAAGTAATTAAAAGATCTTTGTTACTTTAGCACATGATTTCTCTCTTTTGCAGTCCCAGAAGGTGAGAGGAGCAGCACACAAGACTGCAGCTCTTTAATGGGCTGAATTCCAAAACAATGACTAGAGAGATCCCCCGGGGAGGGTGCGCCCAGACCTGGTGAGCGCATGTGCCCTTCTGGATAGCACTGTCCCACAGTGACACAGCTGTCCCAACGAAGCCAACTGCAAGGATGAGCAAAAAAACCAGAAAGATTTCCATGAACAGCTCCCTAACCAGGAGGAGAGAGGAAGGTTGAGTTGAGCAAGGTTCTCTGCTTATTCTTCCTAAATCTGCAAATTCAGTAAGTCACTGCATTTCTCCAGGGAACTGACAAAATGAGAAAAAAAGGCAAAAAAGAATACAAGACAATGCTTACAGAAAACCACCAAGAACAAGAAAAAGTTGTTCTTTTTAAATCTCCAATCGTAACAGCTACTAGCCATGTTCTCCAGAAATAAACTTTTGTGAATTAAAAAAAAGAAAAGAAAATGCCAAGATGTGTCATGTAAAGCAATTTAATGTAACTTTTCAAGTAATTTGTCTATAATAAAACCACTCTTGATTTTGCATTTGCAGATGATCTTTGCAAAGAATCGCATGCATGTGTTTAACATTTACCTTCAGTATTAACTGTGTTAATATTACTGTTGCGTACTTTGACATTTTAGATTTAACATTTATATTTGGAGGAATTAAAAAACTTCAACGAAGCTATAACTCATTTCCACAATCTGAATTTCTGTGAATGTTTTAGAAGACACTTCAGAAAGGGCTTAATGCTATTTGGGAATTAAAATTCTACTTGTGAGAATTACCTCTATGGAAATACAAATTGATGTACAATGTAGACTGTAGTTTGATAGAATGAGCATGTTAGAGCTTTCTCCATGACCCAAGACCAAAATAATAATTAAATATAACAATCAACATAAGAACCACAACCCTTAGTACAGTTTGACTTTCATGGCAATAGTTATAGAAAGGTGTATTTTGTTTCAACATAAGGGTGAACTTTTCTTTTTTTGAGACAGTGCCTCACTAGTAGTCCAGGCTGTCCTTGAACTCTCTATGTAATGCAGGCTGGCTTCGAACTCACAGTGATCCTCCTGTTCAGCCTTCCAAGTGCTGGGATTACAGATGTGCATCACCCAGCCTGGGTGAACTTCTTAATAGTAAGAGCTATTCAGACCAAAATGAGCTGCCCTGCTGTTATTAAAGAAAACCGGAAAATCACTTGGTGATGGTACTTGAAAGGGACTCACTCGTCTTTTTATTGTACTGGTTGACTTCCGAGTTCTCCCTCCATTGTAATAGGCTATAAAAGCAACTGAATCATGTACAGATGTAAACCCTTTCTAATTTTTTCTTTTGTATTAGTTAACACAATAGACTAAAGCTCCCCAAAACATGCCTGCTTACAATAAAAGAACCCAGAACATTCAAAATGAGTTCGGAAAGAAGAGATCTGTTGAAAATAAATTTTTATAAATTACAATGTGACAACTACATTTATGTTGTGTACAGATTCTGAAAACATCCTTATGAATATCCTCTTGGTATTCCTTTGCTAATTCAGGAAATGGCAAATAATTCTTGTTATTATTTCTTAAATTATCCTATATATGGTTGAAACTGTATTGGTAAAATTATTTAGCTAATTCTAGAATTTACAAGAGGAAACTCATGAATAAAGCTGCCCAAAGAGTGGACAATATTAATTTGGAAGCCCATTCTTGATGGCTTGTTCATTAGATGGATTGTAGTGAACTGGTCACAAATGATAAATTTTTAAAAATTCTTTAAAATTTATCCCTATTTTCTTCTCTGCAATTATATGATCAATTGTAGTAAATATTGCACATGTATATTCTGGAATAGTTACATGCAGTGTTCTATGTATTTTGAATTTGTTATTTTTTTCTCCAAATCTGACATATTCTTCTTGACTTTGTTGACTGTATCTTCTTTTTTTTTATTTTAAAGAGAAAAAAATTAAAAATAATAATGAAACAGAGTTTCAAAGCAGGTTAGTAGGAGAGTTACAATAATTAATACATTGCATATTGTTGACTTTGTAAGAGTTATTCAGAGTACAAGATATGGGCATGATATCTTATCCAAACCATATTAGCACAAATGTTTTTTCAGTTAACTGAAAAAGAGAAACTAGCTATATAGCTACCTTTTTTTTTTGTTTGTTTTTCTCCGGTACCGGGAACGGAACTCATGACCTTGCGCTTGCCAGGCAGGCACTTTGCCGCTGAGCTAAATCCCCAGCCCCTTATACAACTATCTTAACCATCTTGTGTATGAAGTGTAGACTGGTGCAACCTTTGCCGAAATCCATGTGGAGATTCCTTTAAAAACTAGGATTAGAGGTCCCATTCAACCCAGTTATTCCCATTCTGAATATCTTTGCAGAAGAATGAAAAACATCATACCACAGCAATATATGTGCACCCATGTTTATAGCAGCACAATTTGTGATAGCTAAATCTTGGAGACAACCCAAATGCCTATCAACCAAGGAATGGATAAAAAAGATGTGATATATATATATATATACACATACATATATACACATATATATATGTATGTATATATATATATATATAAGAGTACTATTCAGCAATAAAGAAGGAGAAACTGAAGACTTTTATAGGTAAATGGATGCAACTCAAGACCATACTCATAAGTGAAATAAACCAGACCCATATGTGTAAACATCATATTGTCTCACTAGGATGAGAAACTGAATGAGTAAATAAAATCCAAAATGTACAATAGATATTGTGAGCTGGGAAGAAACTGTTCAAAAGAAAAGACAAACTGTAATGGAGGAAAGGGGAAAGGAAGAAAGAGAAAAATAAAAATATAAATTATAAATTAACCTTAACATCACGTTATCTGGATGGGTAGAGCTACTCTGACATAGTCCTTGAGGTCAGAACACATGACTGACTTCTTTATTCTATACTGTGGTTGGATTGTAGCAGAAACAAACTTCTGGGTTTGATAATAAATGTCATGCCCCCCAGTAACAACTAGCAAGAGTCAAGTGGCCCTGACTTTGCTTCAGAACATTTCTGTGGGGTTAACACATCGTATTTGCTTGTATGAGTTCACTTTTTGAGTCTTTTGTTTGCAATATGTGAAAGGTAAAGAAAACTATATGTATTTTAAGTTCTGTAATAAAATACTGCTGGATGCTTGGATAAGTAAGTGTTCACACCAGTGATGATTGCTCATTCTTTGTTCTCATGTGGCTCATGGGCTGTCCTGAAATAAGGTCTTGCTGAGTTCTCATCTCAGTCATCAGCTCAGAGTTTTGTTTCTGTGCATGGAGACTTTTAGCACTTTCCAATTGCTCTTTAAGTTTAAAAATAAAGAAGTTTAAAATTTCCTTCTATGTGAGCAGGGTGTGGTGGCGCATGCCTGTAATCCCAGCACTCAGGAGGCTGAGGCAGCAGGATCATTGTGAGTTCGAGACCAGCCTGGGCTACAAAGTGAGCTCAAAGCCAACCCGAACTGCATAGCGAGACCGTGCCTCAAAAAGCCAAAAAACAAAATTTCCTTCCATGATTTAAATTGAAAAAACATCTTTTCTGTCTAGTGGTTATGCTAATACAACACTCCCCAGCTCCCCCTCCTCCACCGTCAAGGTGCACAACTGAATCATTAACTCTTTTCATTCCAAAGGGCCAATATTGTAAATCTGAATGTTCGTTGATTAATGTAAAAAAACTGTACTGGAAACAAAGATATGATTTCTGACTTCAAACACCTTAAAACCACCCCTGATGGCAGACACAAACAGTGCTAACATATGGCAATAACAGTACTTAGAAACAACATGATATGTGGTAGGGGACATTTTACCTGCTGTAAGATGGGTGAACTGCCAATATATATTTTGGTGTGAGTATTGTGGGCAGTAAAAGACAGAAAGGTGAGTAAAGTCTGCAAACATTAATTTTTAAAATGCCAAATCTGTTTTGACTTTTTTTTTTTTTTTTTTTTGTCTTTTTGACACAGGGTCTCGCTATGCGGTTCAGGTTGGCCTTGAGCTCACTTTGTAGCCCAGGCTGGTCTCGAACTCACATCGATCCTCCTGCCTCAGCCTCCCGAGTGCTGGGATTACAGGTGTGCACGAACACACTCCTGGCCTAAAATGCCAAATCTAGAAGAACCTATAGACTAAATAATATTAGTTTGAACGTCCACAAATAGTATTAGATTGAACCAAATGAAGTCATTATTGCTGTAGGTCACAACAGTCGGTATTGGCAGTTTCAAATGGTTTAGCCTAATAAAAAAAACTACATTAGTTTTCTATTGCTGTGTAACACAGGACAACAAATTTAGCTTCTTAACACTAATTTTTTTATCTCATAGTTCAATAGGTCGGAAGTCTTGGTAGGTTCTAGTGGGTTCCCTGATTCAGGTCTCACAGGCTGAAACCCAGGCAGGGATAGGTTCTAATCCAGAGGCTCTGGAGAAGAATTTGCATCTAAGCTCAGTCCAGCTGCTATAAAATTCAGTTCTTGATGTTTGTTTCTGGCCATTGTTCTTAGGAATTAGAAATTGCTCTTCTGCATGTGGTCCCTCCATCTTCAAGTACCAATGGTATGTTGAATCCATGTGCTTTGTTTTTTTTTTTTTTTTTTTTTGGTTTTTTTGAGACAGGGTCTCACTATGCAATTCAGGCTGGCTTAAAGCTCACTTTGTAGCCCAGGCTGGTCTCGAACTCACAACAATCCTCCTGCCTCAGCCTCCTGAGTGCTGGGATTACAGACATGTGCCACCATGCCTGGCTTACTATACTACTGTGTAACCAGATAAGCGGGCTTATTCATGATATATGAAGATTACCCCAGGATTTTGATATACTGTATCTGTTCAACTATTAACATAGATTAGGGAGGAAACCTCCATGTGATTTTCATCATTATTTGTAGTCCAAAAATGCCTTGTCATTCCTTCCCAGATTTATCCAAGCCAAAATAAACAACAACTAATGAGTAGGACTCAGTCTTCAGCCAGATGAATAAGAACCATGTCATTTAGCCATAAAAGCCTGAGTCTATATCACCGCAGTCAATTCATTTCTGCTAGCACCTTTCTGCTTATATATTTTCTTTTTAAGAAAAGAATACTCCAAGTCTGGTCCTAGACTATCAGCAGAT